CCATCGGAATATCCAGGGAGGGAATCTCTTCCACGTCGGAACTGTAAAAAATTTTACTCCTCCTGAGCGAATTCCCCGGGTCAGAAAAGTTCTCTACCCTCCTCGTACTTGGCAGAGTCCGCACGATCTGTCACGCGGATCCGTGGAAGAGGGACTACGGTATTAGACGCGTTTCCCGTAGGAACGTTTCTCGCGACGAAACGTGTTCGGATGTAAAAGGCGGGTGCGCCATGCGACGGAATCCTCGGCCATAAATTCCGCTTGTCCTATCCGTACGACGACATGACGGAAGGTGGCCTATACATCGTCGCCGGCGACGGACTTAATAAAATGCAAAGACGCCGAGCACACGTTTGCCCGGGACGGACTGACATATCGACGCAATACCGACCCACTCAGACCTCTCGAGGAACGTCAGATGGAAGGAAGGACATAGAAAAATCGTTCGAGTGTCAACGAACGAAACCAGCCAGCTACTTCTAGCTTCGTCGACTGTCCTCCTCGTCCATCGTTCTGTTTGTACTCGATCTGCAGCGTGTGTTGGAAAATTTATGGAGAATGTGCGAATAAGATGCACCGCCCTGTGACGAAAGGGAAAATTTCTTTCGATGCTAGAAACGTGCAAGTGTGGTCGGATCTTCGACTACTTTAGATCTGTACGATATTCATTTTTAATTCAATACATCGGTTCTCGATCGGTGTACGATATTCGAACACATGGATAAAAACGATTAACCGAGAATCAAAGAGGAGTCACAGCCCCTACGAGCAACCCCGCGCAATAACCATACAACGAACAGGGAAATCTCCATCCCGGTGCTATCAAACAATACCGCGTCTCTCCCTTTAAACAGGAAGAAATTACGCGGATCTCTTGGAGCGTACACGCCGAGGCAGGAAATAAACAGCGGACTGATATTCATACGAAAGGAAGATGGGGTATCGTTCATGGCAACGTTCGTTACGGGTTCGAAAAGGGGTTGGACGAGGGACGCGTGGGGGCGCAGGTTAACACTTTAAGCCGTCCTGTTTAATATGGCTTTATTACGTAGGTGGTAACGAACCGCCGGGAGGCCATTATGCGGCGATAAAATGCGCAATACACGACGCACCCACACAAACGTTTTGTCCGTCCACCTGGCGCGCGTTTCTACCGTGACACGCACACTCGCGAGCGTGTACCCGCTCGTTTCGACACGCACACGCGTCGAAGTTGACTGACCCGCTCCGTCCAACGCGTGCAACCCGCTCGCGGACACACCGGCTGCGGTCGTTCGCCGCGTTACGCAGTCACCATGGTTACTCAAAATTCAATTTGCCTTTTCGATGGGATCCACGCACCCACCCGGCCGTGCCCGACCACTGATTTTTTTTTGCCTTCTCCCTTTTTCTTTCCGGCGCTGTCGGTTTAATTGCACGTGTAACCGGTACCGGTGATTTTTTTACTGTAACTCGGTTCGGGCTTGGGAGATTTTCAGTTTCGACTGCACGCGCGGGGGTGGCTCGCGGAGAATGGTGGGAAAGGTACGAATGGAATATTGATCGGCGAACACTAATGTCCTAATAATGAGAGTGTATAGATGGAGATAGGGGGGGTTACTGTATAGAGATAAAGTTAGAGGGTGTAGATAGAGGCGGAGCGTCCTGTTAATGAGAGCGTAATGGGGCTGCAATCGTGACATCTGGTTATTCCGAAAGATAGCGATATCTCGTTTTTTTCTCTTTGATATTTTTGCCATTTTTCACGGAACAGCTGGCAGAAGCGCGCCGATCGAACAATTTAAAAGATACCGAGCCGTTCCTTGATACTTTTTCGATTCTTCAGGGAACATCGAGCGGTTCGAATTGGACAAATTATTCCACAAATAATACAGGCTACCGACGATTAAAAAAAGGAGACGTCTGTTTCTCCATGGTTTTACTCTACTGCTCCACTTCGAAGTAGAATGGAGACGCATTATAGACAGACGGTGCTCTTTGAACCATTCAACCTCCGGCTCTATCAATATTTCCCGGCTGTATTTAAAAAAAGAGCCATAGACTGTCCCAGATTCGCTCGGCGTACCGCTATAATCCACAGTTCCCGGCAAACACCGTGGAAACTCTCTGTTTCAGGAACACGGTTGTGTTCAGTGGGACGTAACTGGAATCATGCTCGATTTAAAGAACGCTCTGAATACCTAACGAGAAGGAAACATACTCCCGTCTGGCGAACATCCTTTTCTCTATCCTTACTTGATAACAATTTTTTACGTATCACCGTACAGCAGCGGTAGAAATTTACACATCGAAGGTTCCTCTCTTGTATACTCGGAAACGATGAACTTTTGTCGCCGGTCCCAAAGTCGAAAAATTTCCATATTTCAAAGTTGTACGACTCGAAACTCGAAAGTTGAAAAATTCCGATGTCCTAACGTTCCGTAATTTCAAAGTCTGAAGCGATCGTAGCGTGTCGGCGAAATGCAACAGACAGGGTTCATTTGCAAGTATCGAATTTCCATCGTATTATATTCACTGCAGCTCCGCGTCCTTCGAACTTTACCCCGCTCGAGCACGGTTTATCCCCGTCTTCCACGAAATTCCCTGCCACCCTGGCAACGATTCCCAGCCATGCACGGCGAAGGTGAGGCTCATTCGTGCCGCCATTTCTCTGATGTCCGCGAACAGGAAGGATGGTTCGCTTAAGAGGATGCATGAGGCGTCGAGTACGTGCATGCCGTATTTTCCGGAAAAGTCGTGGCTTGCTCGAATATCGGGTATCTTCGTCGAAGCAGACAGGGTGGCTGGGAGGGTCGAATTTGGTTATGCGTCGCCACGTTCGAGTCGGATTTGTCATCGTCACCTCAGCCACGAATTCGGAGCTCGTTGAAAAAGACCGGATCCCTTGGAGGTTTTCTCGGAACAACTTCGAGGGAAGAACGCGGAGCAGTATGAATTTTTCCAACCCCTTCTGGTCCCTGGAGCAAACGTCACTCGTAACTCTGGCCGTGTCGTGCGATAGGGGGTAGCTTGTGTCGGCGAATTCGTTAGCGGCAATTGATCGATGCGAACGGAGGGGAATTATTGAGGGAATTGTAACGAACGTTGAACCGATGAGGCCACGTGTGCGTGTTCGAAATCGTTTGCTTGAACTTTATTTATGGAATCGAGCGAAGTACAGGGTTTTGTTGGCCCTCGGGGCACGTCCCTCGACTGTAAGGTACAGGTTCGCGGAGAAAGTACAAGGGGAGTAGGTTCGACTGTTTTATATCGGTAATACAGAGAAACATGAACAATGTTTCGACCGGATAAACTTTATTCGAGCTCGAGTCGGTAGCTCGTTCAAATTACACGAATAACTGCCAGTTTTACGCAAACGAGCACGCGACAATAAAGGCGTCGCATCGGTCGCACGAACGCGGTTCCTTATTTCTTTCTCCCTTTTTAATTCATTAACTTTACAACGCCACGATGTAGATGTCAAACGTTTTACACCCGGTTTATACGGCCGTTTATATTGCTTTATCCTGGCGTTTGTCATTACGCGCCCTTTTATTCGACTTTTTATGAAAGCACAGAGCGCGCTACGCCCTGATTAGAGCGCAAGATACATCCACCGAACGTACTTCCGTCACCGTGTAACGTTTCCAATTCCGTCGCTTTAAAGTCCGCCGTGAAACGTCTCCAAAGCTTTATCCCCGATCGTTCGACTTCCAAATCCTCCGCAATCTTCCAACTTGTCTTCCAAAATCTTCGCCTGTCGCTAAATCCGCAAAGACAAAGTCGCAAAGTTTTTCGAGTCTTAATAGCGGTCTTCGGAATCTACGTGACTTCGCCAAGTCGCTTCGTTCCATTTTCAACGATCTTTTATTTACATAAAATCGCATCCCGAATTCAGGACGTCTCTCCCGGTGCGATTTCAACCCCTTTCTCGGCAGAAACGCGACGAGAGACTCGCGTATCCACCCCTCTTTTATCCCTCGCGCTTTTTCCGTGGCGCGAACTTCTGCCAGGTTTGTTAACCTCGAGCGCCACAGGTGGTGATCCTGCATTTTCTGTTCGGTAACGCGGGTCTCATCAACGTCAGCCACTTTCCATATTACCGAATAGATTATTTACGGGTTAATAATGCGTCACCCCTTTCCCTCGATCATCCCTTGCGAGGCGCACACGTGCCATCGCAGAGACTCGGCGGTCGCCTTTAGCCCGTCGCGTTTTATCGTCGATCCAGCATCCGTAGCCGGGGGAATTTTATATGCAGAATTTTATATACCTTGGCCAGGTTTTAGTAATTTTAAGGGTAGACGCGCGTGCTCGGAACAATAAAATCCCTTCCCTCCGGAGGTGTACCACGCAGCCGGATCCCGTGCATTGTGTCGCGAAATATCGGCCGGTTATGAACGCTGGTGTTCATAAAGTTTATTACGCTGCCGGCGGCGATAACGTTAAGCACTATCCCTGTTGCTTTTTATTAGGTTAATCACCGTTTGACACCGTCCTTTAGGGATTTTATACGAACGTTGTCGCGTTCGTTATTTCTAGCTTTACCTGCTAATTGCCAGCGATCCTTTTATCGCTTTAAAGATTCGTCGAAATTCGGCGGTAGGAACGAGGAAGAGTGTACATTTTGTTCGAGCACTTTATTTAATGGCAAGGAGATTATCTAGGAGATCAGACGATGAGTATATCGCTTCTATAAATAATGGAAAGTGTTTGAAAACGAACACGTGTGTCAATTTCGCATTATATTTTAATACCGTGTTGGATCGAGGGGTTCGGTTAAATTAATTATTCGAAAGAAACTCGTGTGCTCTTAATGTCGAGTTAATTACATTTCTTGGTAAATTAAACGATGTATACGTCTGACCATACACGTCAGTTTTCACTGTGGCAGTGGTGAATAAAGACTGACAAGTTGTGGATACCCCTAATCCCACCGTCAGAGCAGTGTCCATAACAAATTCGTGGAAAGAAGGAAATTAAATTAACGCATTTAACATCGGCGTTTTTCTCTGTTCCAGGAGAGAAGCCCTACAAGTGCAGCTGGGAGGGCTGCGAATGGCGATTCGCGCGTTCCGACGAGCTGACCCGCCATTACCGC